CCATCATAGGAAAATCTCTCAAATCCCTTTGCCCTTGGAGATCTGATTTGTTTCCATGGCTTCAAATGAAGATGAGTCCCACATCACCCTCAAATCATCCAATCTCCCTGACTTCAATCACCAGGCTTTAGTTAGATATCTGGACATCTTCCATTTGCCCCTCTACATCTATTCTCCACCCGTTTCACCCTTCTCTGTCCCAAGAGACTGACTTCATCAACAGGGCTCATTTGGCTTCAGACTGGGCTTGGTTAATGGAGTGTTTTAGCCATGGGTTAGAGAGAGGGAGGAGAATAAAACCAGGGAACTTAGCCCCTGGACCAATTTCTGTGAAATGCCTGCCAACTATCTGTGTCCTTTTTTGGCATTTTAAGTAGCCCTCCCCTCTTCCTGGACCTGGAGGCAATAGACAGAAACAGGTCTGTCACTGTCAGCAGGAGTGATTCCCTCTCCTATGGGATCACTGTGCTTACCCACAAGTTCCTAACAAGCCCTTGATCACAAATTGCCCTCATCTGGGCATGCCTCCTCTTCTGTAATAGGATTCAGACTGTACCTTTATGTATCTTTAAATACTTAAAACATTCCTTCTTAGATGCTTTGACTCAACTCAAAATGAACCTATTACCAAACTTATCAGCTTCCCTCCTTCAAATCCCTAAGATAACATCATCACTTGTGGCCTAAACAACAAGGAAAACTTCCTATATATGCCTCCCTCCCTTGTTATACCCTGGCCTGCTAGACCTTACATAGCAGTACGCTCCTCTGTGCCTGTTTCTACTACTTTGTTTTAATATTTCTCAAATCATCCTTCAATGCCTACAACAGCTAGTCTCCCTGTCTCATCTTTTCCCTACAACTTAACCTATATCCACAGATAGTAATTCCACAGTACTTCTTACCCATAACCTTCTAAGTCATTCTGCTTATTTCTATGCTTAATTACCAACTCTTGAGATTTAATCAAGTTTGTGTCCTTTGTTGTTATTGTTGCTGGGTTTGTTGTTGAACTCAGGGTCTGGGCTCTATCCCTTAGCTTTTCCGTTCAAGGTTAGTGCTCTACCAATTTGAGCCACAGCTCCACTTCTGGTTTTCTGATAGTTAATTGGAGACCTTCCTGCCCTGTCTGGCTTTGAACCACAATCCTCAGTAGCTAGGATTACAGGCATGAGCCAGCAGCAGCCAGCTATTTATAAAATGTTTGTGTTCAAATCTCTAGCGAATCTAAAATGTACTCTCACCACACCACTCTCCACACTCATCTATAGCAGGCTCCCAGGCTGGAGGGTCCGCAGGCACTGGGAAGATGTGGCAAGATCACTCTCATTCACTACCACTCCTCAGTCACTAAGGCTGACATTCCTGTCACAAGCAACTCAGCACAGGTTTACAAGAATTTGCCTGCTTTTAAACTTTCAAAGTATTTGTTTTCTCCTACAAAATGTAAGCCACAGCTGTGAAAAGAAATGTAGACTTTTAGTCTACAAAGAGGTAAATAAAGCAAAATAGCTATAATTCCTTTAACAAAGTGAGACTCCCTTTTATACATGAAATGATGAAGATGACTAGATGCAAATCACTGTGTGATTTTAGGACTGCCAGCTGGATAAAATAAGAAATGTTTTTGGTGTGGACACATACATGCAGAATGAAAGAAGAAATACTTCACTGGAAACTCAACAATGATGTAACAAATTAGTAAATTTAACACGGAACATTTTTATAGTGATATAATCTAAATTATAATGTAGGAGCATTCCAGGAAGTGTTTCCAAGATGTATTCAAGAAAATCTTTTTCTATATGAGCATTTGTTAGTTGTTTTGTTTTTTGAGACTGGGTCTTGCTGTGTAGCTCAGGCTGGTCTTCAAACTGGACTTAGCCTCTCAAGTGCTTGGATTACAGGCATTTACTATCATGTCTGGCTCTAACCAGAACTTAATTGCCCTAGTTCACTTTGCTTTTCTTCCCAGTCACTCTCTTTTCCAAAATCTATGCACATTTGGTATTTGGTTACATATGTTCATCACCACACTGACCCAATTACCTAACAGGAAATACCCATCGGCTAAGTCAAGGTAACCTTTATTTTGGGTATATGTTCTAGAAATCTGACACATGAAAACTGATTCAGAGTTGAATTCATTCAAAAGTGCACAATTCTTTTTTTTTTTTTTTGTCGGTTGTGGGGCTTGAACTCTGGGCCTGGGCGCTGTCCCTCAGCCCTTCAGCCCAAGGCGAGCGCTCTACCACTTGAGCTACAGCACCACTTCCAGTTTTCTGGTGGTTTATTGCAGATAGGAGTCTCACAATCTCTCCTGCCTGGGCTGGCTTTGAACCACAATCCTCAGATCTCAGCCTCCTGAGTAGCTAGGATTACAGGCATGAGCCACCAGCACCCGGCTAAAAGTGCACAATTCTTTAAGATAGAAACAGAAGTTCATATTTCCTGATTTAAAATCTAATCTATGACTATTATCAATCCTTGTAAAGTAACATTAACTTATAAGCCAGAATGGAACTAAACACGTAAGATAATCTTTTGAGGTATTTTAATATAATCTTAGAGTAGCATGTATGATTTGCTAACATTTCCTTTTATGGTTTAAGAAAAACAAATAAAGCACATTACCAATTTTTTTTAAATCACAAAGTTCATTGACCCAAATTGCCCATATCCCCTTTGATGGAAATAACAATCACTCTCATCTCTGCCCTGCAAATTATATATCTCCTTCCAAGTCTAAAATGACTGAGAAAATTAAAGTACTTCAGTAGATTATATCCACTGTCCTTTGGAAAAAAAAATGTTCTTAACCTAATTAGTTTAATAAAAGAAACACTGTAAATTATAAACATTTGGTCACTCTGCTCTGGCATTTTAATATGCTAAACATTCCAATTTTCCTACTATGCAAAAATGCTATTGTAATTGGTTGTTGGTTTTTTTTTGGGGGGGGAGGGGAGGGTCAGTCTTGGGGCTTGAACTCAGGGCCTGGCCACTGTCCCTGAGCTTCTTTGTGCTCAAGGCTAGCATTCTACCACTTGAGCCACAACACCACTTCTGGCTTTTTCTGAGTAGTTTATTGGAGATAAAAGTCTCACTGACTTTTGTGCCCAGGCTGGTTTCTAACTGAGATTCTCAGATCTCAACCTCCTGAATAGCTAGGCCTGAGCCACCAGTGCCCAATGGTATTATAATTTTTTAAGTTTCCAATTTGCTACCTAAATTGTTCGTGTGTGTGTGTGTGTGTGTGTGTGTGTGTCTGTATCTGTGTCTGTGTGTGTCTGTGTCTGTGTGTGTGTCTGAGTGTGTCTCTGTGTCCTGGAGCTTGAATTCAAGAGCCTGTGTGCTCTCCCTGGGCTTTTTTGCTAAAGGCTGGTGCTCTATCACTTGAGCTACCAGCTTCACTACTAGCTTTTTGGTGGTTCATTAGAGATGAGAGTCTCATGGGCTTTACTGCCCAAGCTGGCTTTGAACTGTGATCCTCACAGATCTCAACCTCCATGTAGCTAGGACTGCAGGTGCCAGTCACTGACACTTAGCTGGTCTTTTTTGTTTTTCATCAAAACATCAAAGAAAATTCAAAAGCCTCAAAACTTAAGCCTCAACTTAAGCTTTTCCATTTTTTTGTGAGTTATGAGTGTTTCCTTTGCAATAACATGAACTCCAATAAACTACTCTATGTAATAATACAAGTAGCTGTTCTACCTACCTTTTTCCTCTAGAAGAAAATTAATCTCCGAATTGACACTTCTATCTTCAGAGTAGGAAACTTTCCAAACCCCAAGAAAGTATATATAGTAACTACTGGGAATCAAGCATTAGTCAAGACTGTATAGTCATGAAGCCTACATGAAGTGATTAGCTTCCATCTGATAAAAATGAGCTGATCACTGAGTGCTTCACCCAGTGTCTGGCACAGTCATCATCACTGCTCAGACAAGAAAGGTAACATCTCTCAACTCAACAAAAAAATGTTAGGGAAAAACCAGTTTAAGGTGAAGAGGACAGCACCACAGGTCATGCCAAGATGGCAAATACTCAAAACTTGTCATTGTAATAGTTTGCTACACTTATAGAAATGTATTGAAACATTTAAGAACGTTCTTTCTAGTTGTAAAGCAATTTTAATGGTTCTTGTTTTAACTTTTACACAGCTTAAGATAAATTTTTGTATTCATTGTTTATATAAATCACTATGGCTCTTCTGTGGAGATATTCTCATTTTCTTACCTTTATAAAGATTTTCCAGAGAATTATGCATGCTAATCCCAAATTAAACATACCACCATCTCACCACAGATGGAAACACCAAGATGTCTAAGATGACCGAAAAGGAAGAGGAATCTTACTGATCTCTACAAAGATACTTCTGACCTAAGGAACAAAATTCATACTGCTGCACCAGGATTAATTCAAAGAAAATGTTATAAAATGAGAAGACCATATTTATTTTTTAATTAAAACGTTAACTTATAAAACTAACATACTGACTTCTTAAAGTAAATGACAACTAGGATTTGTACTAAAAAAATAGCAGCTGAGCACCGGTGGCTCACGCCTGTAATCCTAGCTACTTAGGAAGCTGATATCTAAGGATCACGGTTCAAAGCTAGCCCAGGCAGGAAAGTCCATGAGACTCTTGTCTCCAATTAATCACCAGAAAACCAGAAATGGCACTGTGCTCAAAGTGGTAGAGTGCTAGCCTTGAGCAAAATTTGCTTAGGGACAGTGCCCAGTCCTTGAGTTCAAGCCCTACAACCAACAAAAAAAAAAAAAAAATTATGTAACTTTTTGTTATCTACAGCAATTCACTTAAATAGAGATAGTTCACTGGTTTCCAACTATACATTATATACGTACATATATATGTATATTATACATATACAACTATACATTAAAAAGAAGTTCTTCAATGCAAGGTTCACCTAGCATAGCAACACTGAAGCTTAAAAAATAAGGGCTTAAAATAATCGATGCTTTGAGATGTCTACCTGGCTCCACGTTCTCGGTCTCAACTTCTTGCTCTTCTGCCACATCTTGCATCATGTAAGTCTCATCATCATAAACCAGAACCTGGGCCGCATAGCCCTGTTCCAATCTGGCACTTGGAACTGGTTCCACAATCACTGCTGGGTATTGAGAAACTTTTTCATTTTCCTATAAGAGCACATTTTAAAAACAATCAATGGTTTCACTCAAAAATTCTGGATTCAGTCCCAAGCAACCCACAGTTTCATGTACTATACATATTTTTTAAAAAGAGATAGACAGGACTAACTAAATATTCAGGACTAACAAATTAAGACAGCTGATTAAAATCATGCATATAATTATACTACTGCCCACTGAAGCAGTAGTAAAAAAAACTTTATTTTATGTGTAATTCCAGAGGAAGAAAGATAAGGACAACAAATAAGTGGTAAGAGTGGTAGTAGATAGTTCAGCAAGCTTAGTAAACCAAACCATAGCCTGACAGCAAAAAGAAAAAGCTGTAAGGACACACTGTGCAGTGGAGAATCCACAGAAAAAACCACCAATTGGCATAGCAAGTAGAAGGGAAAGAGGAAGAATTATAAGAAAGTCCATGTAAAACTGTTAGGACCAACTCTTTCCCGCCATGATACAATCATCTGCTTTTACTTTATAGAGAGGAAAAAACAAAATATTCGAAGTATAATAGGAACATTTGGTATTATTAATACCAGTTTCCAACATCAAAAAGTTTCCAGTCAACTTTTTCATCCCCTACTTCAATAAGCAGTCAAATGTTACTAGACATCAAAGGAAAGTCATTTCATGAAATACATATATATATTGGGGGGGGACAGTCCTGGGGCTTCAACTCAGGGCACTGTCCCTGAGCTTCTTTTGCTCAAGGCTAGCACTATACCACTTGAGCCACAGCGCTATTTCTGGCTTTTTCTGCTTTTATTGTACTGAGGAATCGAACCCAGGGCCTCATGCATGCAAGGCAAGCACTCAACCACTGAGCCACCTTCCCAGCCCCATAAGATATATATTTTAATGTTTATATTCCTAACAGAAATATAATGTCGGGGCTGATCCGGATGTAGCTCAGTGGCAAAGCGCTTGCCTAGCAAGTGCAACGTCCTGGGTTCGATCCCCAGTACCAAAAAAGAAAAAAAGACAGAAATATAATGTCTACAAAGCAATTTAGTAAAGAATATCCAAAAATAAAACACAAAATCACCCTTAGAAATTATGACAAAACAGGGCTGGGAAGGTGGCTCAGTGGTAGAGCGCTTGCCTTGCATGCATGAGGCCCTGGGTTCGATTCCTCAGCACCACATGAGCAAAAAGAAAAAAAAGCCGGAAGTGGCGCTCTGGCTCAAGTGGTAGAGCACTAGCCTTGAGCTGAAGAGCTAAGGGACAGCACCCAGGCCCAGAGTTCAGGCCCAACGACCGGACCCCCAAAAAAGAAAAAAATTATGACAAAACAGCTAAAATGAAGAAGGCCAAGAGATAGCTCAATATTAAGGCACCTGCCTAGAATGCATGAGTCCCTAGTTTCAATCTAAGAGGAAGAAGAGGAAGAGGAGGACAAGGAAGAGGAGGAAGAGGAGAAGGAGGAGGAGAAAGAGGAGGATATAGTACAATGTAAGACAAAACTGAGGTAATCATCTGATGAAAAAAGGAGAAAAAAAAATTTTAGAAAAATAGAAAATAGGGCTGGGAAGGTGGCTCAGTGGTAGAGTGCTTGCCTTGCATGCATGAGGCCCTGGGTTCGATTCCTCAGCACCACATAAGCAGAAAAAAAGCCGGAAGTGGCTCAAGTGGTAGGGTACTAGCCTTGAGATGAAGAGCTAAGGGACAACGCCCAGGCCCAGAGTTCAGGCCCCATGACTGATGGGGGGAAAAAAATTCATTTCATGCATTGATTTCTATGAATGAAACTGAAATGTAAGATACTGAATGCCTAACCTCTTGATTTTCTACTCCAGCACTGGAAAGATCCAAAACAGAACCCCCACCGTCAGCCACTGCTGATGACATTGTTCCCTGAGGAAACTTCAAATGCTATGCATCAGTGTCATTAAAGCTTCATAGATAATGACCAGGCAAAGAGATCTGCATCATTATGTGCGAAGAGTCAGTAGTGATGGAGTATAGTAGAGATCCAGAAATCCAGTCTTCTAAAGATGATTAATTCAAGAGCCTAAAAAAGGAAGAGTTTGAACAGTTATCAAAAATACAAAGGAATGGTATATAAACCATAACATATTTTGCAGTCAAATAATTTATTAATAGTTTAGCTATGAAAAATAATGGATTTTACATCTCCAACTCAAAAGAGGGCTGTAGTGAGTATTCTAATTCTTAAAATACTAATATGTTAAAGATTAGTAAGAGTTTAATATTCAAGCTCATTTACTAACTGAATAAGTCCTTATCATGTAAAAGTGAAATTATTAGAGGAGATAAATTGTTACAACTTCCTTTATGAACATACAAATTTTATATAACAAAGAGCCAAGGGCCAGTAGCTCATGCCTATAATACTAGCTATTAAGAAGGCTGAGAGTTGAGGTTCAAAGCCATCCAGGGCAAAAAAGCCTGTGAGGGCTAGGAAGGTGCCTTAGTGGTAGATTGCTAGCCTAGCATACATGAAGCCCTGGGTTTGATTCCTTAGTACCACATAAACAGAAAAAGCTAAAAGTGGCACTGAGACTCAAGTGGTAGAACACTAGCCTTGAACAAAGAACCTCAGAGACAGTGCTCAGATCCTGAGTTCAAGCCTCAAGATCATTACAAAATAAAAACAAGGATAAAACAAAAAAAGACAACAATAATCCCATAATTCTACTCCATGAAAGCTCCTTGTTACCATATCAGATAGAATTTCTAAAATTTCTCCTCTACACATACAAACAGTAATAGTAAAATAAACTTTACTTACAATTTGAATATTAACTGGTCTAAGCATCCTTCACGATTTTCACAAGTTGCCAAGAGCCAAAACCTGAACTAGCAGTTCTCTGGAACTACTAGTAGGATGGGAAAAGAGTATTAATATAATTCTATTAAAAAGCATTTTGTCCCAAACAGGGATGACTCAAGATAATAAATGCTTATTAAAGCAAATCATCACTAAAGCCTCATGACACACACTTACATGAGTATGGAAAAAAATCTTTCTAGGCTGGGCACTGGTAGTTCACACCAGTAGTCCTAACTACTCAGGAGGCTGAGTTCTGAGGATCACAGTTCAAAGCCAGCCCAGGCAGGACAGACTGTGAGATTCTTATCTCCAATTAACTAGCAAAGTGAAGTGGTGACATTGTCCAAAAAGAAATGTACTTTTGGGCTGGGAAGGTGGCTCAGTGGTAGAGCGCTTGCCTTGCATGCCTGAGGCCCTGGGTTCAATTCCTCAGCACCACATAAGCAAAAAAATGAAAAAAGCTGGAAGTGGTGCTGTGGCTCAAGTGGTAGAGTGCTAGCCTTGAGCTGAAGGGCTAAGGGACAGTTCCCAGGCCCAGAGTTCAGACCCCACGACCAGGCACCCCCCCCAAAAAAAGAAATGCATTTTTTACTGACTTATGTAACTGTAACACCTCTGTACATCTTTATAAGAACAAAAAAAAAATTTAAGTGGGAAGTGGAACTTTGGCCCAAGTAGTAGAGCACAAACAAGCCTTGAACAAAAAAGCTCAGGGACAGAGCCCAAGCCCTAAGTTCAAGCCCATGACTGAGACAAAATAATACTAATAATAATTCTTTCTAGATAACTTGAGGAGTCAGAAATTTTTGTCACCACTAAATAGCAATTACCAGGTAAGGACACATCCAATATATATAGCCTATGACCAATATTATGAGCTATACTTCAATCAACTAACAGATTTTTAGTAAGTAGTTACATGTATAGCTCCTTCTCCCCAGAAGTATGAAATTTATGTTTAAAAAAGGAAAAGAAACACAAAACCCAACCATAAAACAATGGTAGTGATATGTGATTGTCCATTCAGTCATCTTGCTACTTTCTCACTCCCAAGCTTAGCATTGATGACAACAATATCTGCCTCCTCAAATATCCTTCCTCCTTTTTTTTTTTTTTTTGTCGGTCGTGGGGCCTGAACTCTTGAGTCTGGGTGCTGTCGCTCAGCTCTTTCTGTTTATGTGGTGCTGAGGAATGGAACGCAGGGCCTCAAGCATGCAAGGCAAGTACTCTACCACTGAGCCACCTTCCCAGACCTCCTTCCTCCTTTCTAAAACTAGTGTACTGTTGGTTACTGGTGGCTCATGCCTATAATCCTAGCTACTCAGGAGGCTAAGATCTAAGGATCACGGTTCAAAACCAGCCCAGGCAGGAATGTAAATGAGACTCTTATCTCCAATTAACCACCAGAAAACCAGAAGTGGCACTGTGGCTCAAGTGGTAGAGCATTAGCTTTGAGCTGAAAAGTTCAGGGACAGTACAGAGGCTCAGAGTTTTCAAGCCCCACGACCAACCGAAAAAAAAAAACAAAAACCTAATCTCCTGAAACATGCACTGGATCCTAGAACTTGCTCCAAAATCTAAAAATAGAAATGTTTATTTGTAAGATCCTCATCTTAAATGGAAAAACACTTCCATGGTCCAGTTACTACTCCAATTCCTCCCACTTTCAGATACAGTCTTAGAAAAGAAGCCTTCCATACGGTCTCCACTTCCTCATTTCTCAGCAACTCTTCCTGCTACAGAAGCTTGACATCTATCCTTGAATAAATTAAATTTTTACTAAATTCTACTTTTCCAGTTCAATGGATACTTTATTCTTCAAAGAACTTGCTACCTCTGAAACACTTGACAGTTTATCATCCTTTTCTTAATTTTGAATTTCCTCCTTCTTCTCTTCTCCACCTTGCAGGTCCTACCCTTAATTTTCAAGGTTTTGGGAAAAGAGTACAAATGGAAGCCTATATTCCATTTTCCTAGATATTTTCAAGGTACAAATCAAGCGAAAAAATTGTTAGTACTTTTTTTCTTTTTTCCTATGTACCTTATAACAACTTGACTGAGCAAGTTCTGGCTTTGAATTCTCAAGGTTCCCTGGAGTTCTGTAGGGGCACTGAAGCCATGCCCCTCCCCTGGCCTATACCCAACCCCTCCACCTTAGGCTCCACCTCAGACCCCACCTTTGGCTCCAGTGAATTCTCTCATGCTGTAGGTACCCAGCCCATGGGTCCCAGCTCCAGCAACATGCCTGCAAACAGTTCCTCCTTAAGCCATCCTTTAGACAGAGAAGAACCCATACAGAAGCTATGGTCAAGGGAGGGAAAATTGGGGAAGATACTCATGAAGGAGTACATGGACAGAGAATTCTGGGATCCAAATACTGATTAAGGAAAAGACCACGTGAACTTGTCACCTTGACTCCTCCACATCCTAAATACTCTGTAAGGTATGACATCTATTCTCATAGCTTCACCCAACTCTCTCATCCAGACAAGTGCTGGTGACTCATGTGGGCAATCGTAGCTACTTCAGAGAAGGACATTGGGAGGGCTGTGGGTCAAGATCAATCCAGGTATACACCTAAGACTCATTTCTCAACCAAAAGCCTGACAGTGCCCATATGTCATCTTGGCTACAGAGAAGGGAGAAGTAGCCAGGTGTCAGTGACTCACGCCTATAATCCTAGCTACTCAGGAGGCTGAGATCTGAGGCTCACAGTTCAAAGCCAGCCTGGACAGGAAAGTCCGTGAGATTCTTATCTCCAATAAACCACTAAAAAACTGAAAGTAGCTCAAGTAGTAGAGTGCTAATCTTGAGCTGAAAACTGAGGGGCGGTGCCCAAGCTTGGAGTTCAAGCCCCACAACCAAAACAAAAAGAAGGAAGAAGTACAATTCCATGGCAGCTTGGGCAGAAAAATCCACAAGACTCAATCTCAATGGAAGAAGCTGGGTACAGTGGCACATGTATGTCATCCCAGCTACTGTGGGAAGCCTAAATTAGGAAGACATCAGTCCACACATCTGGGCAGGAAGCAAGACCTCATCTCAGAAATAACCAGCACAAAAAATGGGGTGCTAGATGTGTTGCTTGGTTGAACATTGCCTAGCAAGTATGAGGCCCAGAGTTCAAACCTCAGTATCAATAAAAATATATTTTCCAGTTTAAACCATTTTCATGGGCTCTAAAATTTGCCTAACAAAATGATAAATTAATTAATTAAATAAATAAAATAGGGAGCACTGAGCAGAGAGGAAGGTATAATTTCAAGTTCGGAAGAGAAAGATTCACTGAAAAAGTAACCTGAGTAAAAGTGTGGCAGTACTTTGCAGAATTAGCAAAATATTAGATTCAAATGTCCAATTTTCAAAAAAAAAATCATGAAATAAAGAAGTACCATATGAAGGTTTAAAAAAAAATTTTTTTTGTCCGTCTGTTACCTCACTTAACTAACACTTCTTTGTGCTGGTAGCAGTCAAAAACACTTTAAACACTGTCAGACATACAGTTAATTATTGTCAACCAGTTACCCTACTGTGCCATAGAATATCAGAATTTATTCTTCCTGTCAAACTGCATTCCTGTACCTGTGAGCCATCATTTCTCCATCCCCTTTCCTCCTTCCATCCTTCACAGCCCCTGATAATACTTATTTTATTCCCTAATTCTATGAAGTACGCCTTCTTAGCTTCCACATGTGAATGAGAGCATGACAAAGACCGAATGCTAATCAATAACTCTCAATGTGTTATCAACAATCGTTCTAGACTCACTCCAGGAACTCTTTCCAGACACATTAAGTTCTGCAAACAACTTACTTTAACATTCTCTGATTAAGCAAATTTTCAAATGAAGTAAGAACTAGACAAAAGACACAGATAGGGAGGTTCAGAGATTAGAGAAAAACTAAAAATGAAACTCAAGGTTTATGTCCTGACCACTATCAGATGATCAGAAAGTCTAGAATCTGTTCACAATAACCTTTAATTCATTAAAACACACACACAGGGATGGGAATGTGGCTTAGTGGTACAGTGCTTGCCTAGTATGCATAAAGTGCTGGGTTCGATTCCTCAGTTCCACATACACAGAAAAAGCTGGAAGTGGCGCTGTGGCTCAAATGGTAGAGTACTAGCCTTGAGCAAAAGAAGTTCAGGGAGGGGCCGCGGTGGCTCACACCTGTAATCCTATCTACTCAGGAGGCTGAGATCTGAGGATCTAGGTTCAAAGCCTGCTGGGGCAAGAAAGTCCATGTGACTCTTATCTCCAATAAACTACTAGAAAACCAGAAGTGGCGCTGTGGCTCAAGCGGTAGAGCACTCGCCTTGCCTTGCGCTGAAGAGTGCAGGGACAGCGCCCAAGTCCAGAGTTCAAGCCCCAGGACCAACAAAAAAAAAGAAGAAGAAGCAGCAGCAGCAGCAGCTCAGGGACAGTGTCCAGGCCCTGAGTTCAAGCCCCAGGACCAGCAACATACACATACACATACACACACACACACACACACAGCCTTAAAGACAGCTTGAACAGGACATGGAGGCTCATGCCTGTAATACCACCTACTCAGAAGGTGGATTTCAAGAAGACTGCCCAGAAGCCAAGGCAAAAAAAATCCTGCAGACCCATTTCAAATAATGGGTAGGCATGATGCTACACACCTGTTATTCCTGCTACATGGGAAGAATAAATACGAAGATCATGGCTTGGGCCAGCCCAGGCAAAAAAAATTATACCCTATTGAAAAAATAAGCTCAAATGGTAGAGTACCTGCCTAGTAAGTGTAAGGCCCTGAGTGTGAACCCAAATACCACAAAAAAAAAAAAAAAACTTTGTTTCAACTCACACAGTTCTTTTATAAGAGAGTGGTACCTGGTACTAAAGGTAATCAGAATTAGATTCTGCCAGTTACTAAGAAAACCTAAAATCCAGTTAAGTTCTGTTCAATAAAGCAAACCAAGAATCTCTGCTGAGAGAGAAATTTCCAGACCATAACTGCTATTCTAGAAATGCTAGTGCAGAGAAGTTTTGCAGCTTTTCTTTCACATTTTAA